GAGCCTCAAATGAGTACCTGGTGCGGTGTGTAGACATCGCCACTCGGGAGACAAAGGCGGTCGGGCGTGGTGCTGGCCACCCACCCCCTCGTATGCCGTGCCGGCCTTCATCGGTGCTACTCACTAACAGCACTTCCTCCGCCAGTCTGTTAAGGTTATACGGAGGATATTTGTCTTTTGTGTGTGCACAAAAGATGGAGGTCCCTCATACAGCCTGTCACAAGACTGTTGAAGCAGACGTAGTTAGCGATCACCTATTAAGGCTGTCACGACCACCTATGTCGCTCCAGTGCTGGCGTTTGCACATTCTTACCGGACACTCATTTCAAGGTTGAGTCAACCTACGGGAGGCCCAGGGCCGGTTCATTCGCCATTGATGGCGAAAATCGAAATCAAACGCCGGACTGCCAGGTTCATAGCGCAATGCGTGAACCGATACGCGCACGCGCAGACACGCATTCCACAGAGTATGCAGAATACGTGACCGAGTTGCATAAGCAATGGTCACATTCCAGACAAAGCCTAATGTATTACACGGCTAGACGTGTCATGCTGTCAATCCATTTGTGAAGCCATAACTCGCTGAGAGGAAGCTCAACCGAGAGGGAGCTGTCGATGGTGCTGAAACGAGCTGGCATTTAATATTTATCGCTATTATAATTTTACTTGTTGTAAATATTACGCACTTAAGCCAAGGCAGTAATAGCGATCGTGAGGGAGCATGCGATTAGAGCATTACATGTTCGTGAAGCCGTAACTTGAATCATCATTCTGGGCTTCACTGCTTAAGGGACTTGCAAATTTAATTGACCAAGCACCATGCTCCCTATTATGTGCCAAGTGAAAATGGCACTTGATGAGAAAACCGAGGCCAACACTGCTCTGTCTCTGGACAGGCAAGCCACTGTTTCTCCCCAGATGATTTTTTTACCACTTTGGAATTGATTATTTCATCCCCGAGTCCAAACAATTCTGAAATCAACTGCCGACGAAAAGCAATGTGTAATTCGAAATGTACGTGTTTGCTGTAATTATAAAGGGTTACATTCGCTTTCCTTATTTATTTTACAGTTGGGCTTGACCATTGTTCACCAGTTGTAATTCATCACACATCAATGCAAGTAAATTATCTTTCACAATGATTTCAGTTATTAATTTAGAAATGTCACACAGCTCTTTAAGCAGGAATTGTTTGTGCGACTCACGGAGGCGCTTGCGACGAGACGCCAGAGGTTTTTTTTTCTGACCTCCTGCGAGCTTTTTCAATCTTCCTGGTCGGTAGCGGAGGGTCTGAAGAATCTCCCGCGAGCTGTGATCGGAGCTCCCCCAGATTTTGCACAGCAGAGGTGCGGCAAAGCACAGCACCTTAGAACCACTGGGACCATGCAATTACCCTGGCGTTCCTCATTACCGATCAACTCTGCGCGTGCGAAATGCAGTTGTGAAAGTTTTGTTTCCAATATTAATAACATCGGGAATCATTGTGGACCGAGTGAGAGCGATTGGAGTTATTGTGGTGGCCAGCCTTATCGTGATGCTTACAACCGTGGCACGTATCCAGATGTCGTTGACATGCAGCGCTACGGCTTTATTACAGCCGAGTGCCGCATGCGGTGAAAGATGACATTAATAAACGCTCTGACATTGGGGGAGGAGATGAAAGTATGTAGAGATGATTGTACTTTTTTTTCATTAGGCTTTTACAAAAGTGCCTGTTCAGGTTAAATTTTGTAAGTAGATTTAGTTTTTTCCCGTAAAAAGTGCAAGCACAAATGTTATTGTACCTGCTGCTTTTGACAGCGATGGCGCGGTGTGGAATCACTCTAATTTTTTGTTGCTGTACATTTTTGGGGTTGAACGATGTTTTCGGAAATGCAAGTGTTTGGTACGTGGTGACTTTGCTGGGTTGTGGCCTTGCGGTCGTGACGGTGAAGAAGGAATTGTCAAACTCGCCCACCACGTGAGAGTTTCGGTCATTCATCACGACACCGTGCACTGTCAATCTTGTGGCATCAGCTCCCCCTGCGCATATAGAGGTGTAAACCTCATGCTTATGTAATGTATATTACATAATACGGGGCAGTCCTTGGGTTATGAACCTAATTAGTTCATGAGGCCTGTTTGTATGTCGGAACACAAAAACACACCGTATTTAAATGCCCATACGGTCAGTGGTATGAAACGTGTTCCGGTTTAACAAAAAGGGAAGCATTGTTAAACTCATAATCGTGAAGAAATACTGTACATTTGCATGTAACACTGTTAGAAATACTGTATAGTAAATAAAACAGAAATTAACATAAATAGAAAACAACTCTTTTAGTTTCACTTACCTTGAGTCCTGATGCTCTCTTGTAGTTGAAAGGGGGGCAATGGATCACCACAATTGCACACATGCACGCACCCCGATGACAATGATCCCCCATGTAGCCTTAACAGGCTGTTGGGGCAAGTGCTATTAGTCAGTAGAACTTATGAAGGCCGGTACGGCACATGGGAGGGTGGGTGGCCAACACCCACCCGGCTGCCTTTGTCTCCCCAGTGGTGATGTTTACACACCGTACCAGGTACTGGTGTTGGCCGTGAGCAAGAATAAACCTCGGGTCGCCGCTATGCTACCGCTCCCCACACACTCACACTTTCACACAACAACAACAACAAGCGCCATTCGCTACTAAGTGGCGGTGACATCGCCACGACGCTTGTGCCAGGCCATGTGCACCTTGAGGCCACACACACTTTCACACACACACACACTTTCACACACACACTTTCACATACACACAGTTTCACACACACACTTTCACACACACACTTTCACACACACACTTTCACACACACTTTCACACACACACTTTCACACACAGACACTTTCACACACACACACTTTCACACACTCGCACTTTCACACACACACGTTCCGTGCACATACACACACACATGCAAACACTTACTCCCAGCACGAGGCCGACTCACTACGCCTCTCGGAGGATCGCTCCTCTGAACAAAATAGTTCCGCGGTTCAGTTTGCAATTGCCAGTTCACGTTTTAAGTCAATATAATTTTTTTTATTTAAGCCGATTTGTAAGTACGGGCGTTCGTAAGTCGAGCACTGGCTGTCTATATCTATCCCTTAGCACTGGGGGGACCTTTATCAATTGTGGCTATATTTGGTAGAAAATTTTAAACCTTCAAAATCTCAATTCAAAAGTAGAAGCAACATTCAATCGCTCTGGACGACAGTTCCACTTTAAGCAAATGAGGTCTGCAGAGTCAAAGTCAGCACGATTTAGAAGAAGAAGCAGCAGAAATAATTGGAGAGCGCCTTTGGGGAAAGTTCTTTCTTTTTTAACTGTGACATCAATATTTAATGCCTGACATAAAACGTTAATATGTATGAGAAAATGCAAGCGTAATAAATAAAAAAAACGGCACGGTGTCTGATTACGCATGGACCATTACCGCCGCCACCCATACGTGAGGTTACGTCATTGTTCCAGATGAATCATTACCAAACGCGGACAGAGTTTATCCACGAACGTGGCCGTTAAGCTTCTCATCAATAACGACCCGAGTGGGTTAAGACCGGTTACGAGTTTCTTTACGTTTTCCCATCTCATCGTTCAACCCTCGAAACGGCGATTGTTGAAATGCCGATAGAAATTAAATTGGCCGCTTTAATTCTGTTTTTATCGCCGTGTTTATCGTTAGACCATTTCATGCGAACGCTCACAGTCGTATTGCGATAGCCTCTGTCCTGTGTCTTCTTTCGTCGGAAGAGCTAAACGAATGGCGGCTAAACAATGCCTGCCCTTCACGGCACGAGATGACACGACTCTTGCGGTCCCAATCGACTCCGCGCGGGGCTTCTGCAGCAGCTCGAGGGTTAAGGGTAATTGCTGTCAGATAAACAGGCCCATTCTCGCCGTGTGTTTGACGGATAGGGTTATTTTGAGTGTGGCAAAAAAGTGTAATTTCACACCACCGCACGCTCAGATTTATCCTTGAAGGCCGTCCTGGTGGCGCTCAATCGCAAAACACCGTGGCAGCGCAGCATGCCTCGCTGTAGCAACTCCTCCGAGCACCACCCACTTACCCTTGGGCTACACCCATCTCAAACCTAGATAACATCCCGCTTCAGCAGCTCTCCCGCTATATTGTTTCACCTGATGACGATTGCTCGTGTTGCGATCGAAACGTCGTGATATTTTTATTGTTTTTCTATCTACGTGGCTTTACCGAAAGACCCAAAGAATATGAACTCCTGCAGTCACGAAAGCTTTAAGTCAACAATATTTGAAGTGAACAACTAAAACTATTCCGTGCAATATCCCGTACAGACGCAAATCTACGCACGTATCGTGAGCCAGAGGTCGCAAATGGGTTTTGATTCCTTACCCGTACCCGTACCCGGCCGCACCAGGGTCGCAAATGGGTACCCGTATCCGTACCCGGCCGTACCCGTACCCTACCCGAAATGAGTGACAAACGGTTACTCACCAGTGACTCACGGCCTACCCGTACCCGTACCCGGCCGCACCAGGGTCGCAAACGGCTACCCGTACCCGTACCCGGCTGGGTACGGGTAGCCGGGTATCGGGTAGGGTACGGGTATCGGGTACCCGGTTGCGACCTTAGTCGTGAGCTGAAGAACGAATGATGATCGAAGCATCGCCGTCTCACGGGCAGGCTCCACTGAAAGTGCTCGTCTCTGTCTGAGCGCACGGCTCAAAATACGGAGCGGGGTAAACTGCATTCATTATGCGAGCGACCATTCACTTTAATAGATGTGAAAGGTCAGATAAATAATTCAAATGGTAAACAGAGGCCCATTTAGGGCGGCATTTCGTTTTGATTGCAAGTCAGCGCAGCCCCTGGAAGCATTTTCACAATTGCAAAACAACAACAACAAGACTCTGAAACGATGACGCTCATGAGAGATGTTGAAAACCGCGATATTAAATGACGTTTTTTCTTTCTTTCCCTTCCACGGGGGACAGATGGAGCATTGTTCCCCATCAAGGTGAAACCTCTCTTCACTGGAGGCACCTTCAACAGCAGCTACAACAAGAAATATTTGCCGGTGCTGTTCAGCATCCCTCCAGCCACCGTCAAGGTACATTTAAAATCCCAAAAGTTCGTGTAAATGATAAGAAGAAAACCTCCCCCCCCCCCGTCTCAACGGGAGAACACGCGCAGGCTGATGAACAATTAAAGATGTTTTGGCTGAACATTGCACCCTGGGTGAAATCTCACGTGGCCATCGCAACAGGAGGGCCACGTGAATTTTGTGGTGCGTTGGTCATGTGACCAGCTCGACCGGCCTGATGGTGCGTTGGTCACGTGACCAACTCGACCGCCAGGCCGGTGGAGTTGTGCCGTCCTGCTGTTTGTGAGCGCAGCTCTCGCCGCGTGCTGTTAACTCTTTGACCGTCAAGGCGCTCGGTGAGATCACTTCAAATGTTATTGCTTTGACGATACATGCCATGACGCCTGTGCAGAGCACATCCGTGTTACGGTAATGTGTATGATTATATATATATATAAAATATATTTTATCATGCCATGTCCCCAACGCATGACGTGTGAATCTCAGGGCTGGCTATTATCTTTTTTTTTTACTGCAGTTGCTGAGCATAGGCCCCAAAGCACCAGAATGCGAAGCGGCCGGCAGCAGACAGCCCTTTTAAAGCCGTAATAGACAAAGAGTTGACACGTTTTTCGCGATTTGGGCGAGGATGCGAGAACTTGGGGGGGAAATAGACGATGGGGGAGAGAATTCCAGAGCGGAACAGCGGAGAGAATGAGAAGTGTTTTGACCTTCAGGTGCGGTGGTTTTGAGCACAGCGCGGTTGACATGACAATACGAGTGGACATCCTCACTGACGTGATACCATGGCAGACGGTCCGCATTCATAAAGCAAATTAACAACGCAAAACAATGACAGTCGCTGTTAAATTAAATGCGATTTTTGAAGTAAACAATTAAAATGGCATAAAATGGGGGTTCTTGAAAGCATATCGAACAGTTCGGTAAGAATTAACATAATAACGACGGTTCCATTTGTCGTTTGAAACATGTGGCGGCCCCGCCATGAGCCACGCAATCACACGACGATCGCCACGTGCCCCCCCTCACCCTTCCTCCTCTCCCTGGGCTTTTACAAAGCCTGGGCATTCGCGATGCTCCCTTGGTCCAACTTTTAAGTTTAAAAGTTTAATTTATTAGGTATAGCCCTGTGAGCCATGCGGCTCTTGAGTCAGGTGCAACCACAACAAACAAAATATGAATAAAGAACATCTTAAAGCGACGACGCGCAACAGAGACAACGCTGTGTGCAAAAATCCCAGTGTGATGCAAGTCAAACAATAACAACCATAAGACAATTTAGATTAAAGTTACCAGGCCAACTCCGCACTTCCGCAAGAAACATGGCTTAACCATATGTTTTAGAAATCACCAAAATAAAGCTATAAAAAACAGTAATCAGAGGAACTGTGATTCAAATTTAACAATAAACGATATACATAACATGTACGACCAAACTTGCAGCCATAGCTGGCAGCATGACACTCCCAGTGTATGATGTGTGAGTGAGTCAGTGGTCGTGTGACTGAGTGTATGATGTGTGAGTGAGTCAGTGTATGATGAGTGAGTGTATGATGAGTGAATCAGTGTATGATGAGTGAATGGGTCAGTGGTTGTGTGAGTGAGTGTATGATGTGTGAGTGAGTCAGTGTATGATGTGTGAATGTATCACGGCCCTCCTCCCCGCCATCACGGCCTCCTCCCTGCCATCACGGCCTCCTCCCCGCCATCACGACCTCCTCCACGCCATCACGGCCTTCTCCACTCATGCAAAGCCCTTCAACGCGACACACTCCGCGACTTTGCCTAATGGTAATGTCCCGTTGAGCCCCACGGCCGGACAGAGGCCCGCTGTCACATGCCACGCAGTCGCATCCGATCGCCGCTTAGTCACGTCCGGTAGATGCCGAGTCACATCTGATAGCCGCCTAGTCACATCCTATAGCCACCCAGTCGCATCCGATAGCCGCTTAGTCACGTCCGGTAGATGCCTAGTCACGTCCGGTAGCCGTCTGTGGGCGTCTGAATTAATTCTCAGGTCGAAGGCGTCAGCTAACCTGACGATGTACTGCGCGAACGGACTGATGGAGAGAGAGAGAGAGCGGCCGTGGCATATTTACAATGCGCGTACGTATTGCGAAAGCCAGCCAATTTTTCACAAGCCTCTTGGGGTCGACCATAGCATTTTCATTACGACACACTACCCTGCAGGGACTGGCCTGATATAAGGGACGTGACATGGAAATTATGATTGTTTTTTTTGTTGTTGCTGCTGTTGTTTCTGTGCTGCTTGCGACCGTAACGCATTGCCCTATGGGCACGGTAAATCTCACAGGCAATGAACTCGTAGGGAGCATATTCGTTGTGGGTTAAGAGTGGCGGTGCACTTGAACTGTTCACCTGAAACACGCAAAAAATCTCTCGTGTAGCCTTAACAGACTGTTGGGGCAAGTGCTGTTAAGGTATCACCTATGAAAGTCGGATGGCACACGAGGGGGTGGGTGGCCAGCACCACACCCAGCCACACACACACACAGTTTGACGGAGCCCGCGATGGTACCATAAACACACCGCGTAAAAATGCCATGCCGAGCAACTTATCGCCAACCCGTTGAAAGGTGTAATGAGTTTCAGCGCTCCCTTGATCACGGCGCGGCGTGTGAGCTGAGCGAGTCCTGCCCAGAGGGCCCGAGGCCCTGTCCACGGTTATTGGAACGTTTTGTCTGCACATCGCGCCCATAAAAAAAGCCAATAGGCCTAATTGGGGGGGAGGGGGGGGGTGTATTGCGCTCGATAAATCACCCTCAGTTACGGCAGGCAATGAAGGCCCACGTGCTATTAAAATCCCACTTCCGGGGGCCATTCGCGATGCACGCCATGGCAGATCGATGAGACTTTCTGCCCGTAAATTGATTTATTAATAGGTTTATTAATCCTCGCGTAATGGGATTGCCGCAGGTGGAGCTCTACGCCGTTATAACGGGGCACGGCAGCGACGAGCACGGCTGCGGAGAGTTCTGCGTGACGTCCCACCACTTTGTCGTCAACAGGAAGTTCACCAACTCCATAACGTTCAACAACGCAGGTACCAAAAACGCAAAGTTCTTTCTTTAGCTCGCCCTGCGGCCGTGACTACGCCACACGTGGCTGCCTGTGACCCAGCACTGTGGAGGTAGCAGCAAGGGTTGGTGGATCGCCGCACAAATGTTGCACAACTCCCTTCGTAAGGGCGTCCAGGTGTCAGACCGGTGGCGAGATGTTGACGACCTCGCGTGGTATACAGGAGATTGTGGGTTCGATCTCGACCCTGATGCTTGTATTTTGGAGTTTGCATGATCTCCCCATGGTCGCGTGGATTCTTCTTCGGGTCCTCCGGTTTTTCCCTCCACAGTTAGAAACCTGCTTTTAGAGTGTTATTTGGCTGCTATGAATTTCAACGTGATAAGCCACTTCATTGAGCGATAATTTGAGATAGCCAGGTCGCTTCTGAAAAAGTGCTCCTTAGCTCGGTGGACCTTACCTGTAAAAAATATAGATATTTTCGTGGTTTAATTTATAACCTGGTTTTCTCGTAGGCCGTAGCACAAAAATGTGGACTCCACCTGTTCGTTCTGTACGGGATAGAGCGTTTCCCCTTTGCATGCGTGGGTTTTCTCTGGGTGCTGCAAGTTTCTTCTCCACGTGTAAGCACACTTTAATTGTCCAATAACACTTTAGTATATATAGAGGCAGTTCAATCTAGATTTGAAGTTTTCGTGACTGCAGGGATCCATACTCTTTGGTTCTTTCTATAAATAAAATAAAATAAATTAAATCACGTCGTTTCGATCGCAACACAAGCAATCATCATCAGGTGGGAACACCACAGCAAGAAAAAACTAAAATTCCCACTTCAGCAAAAAATGTTCTTGCTGTGGTTTTCCCACCTGATGATGATTGCTTGTGTTGTGGTCAAAACTTCGTAATTTTATTTATTTTATTTTATACCTACGTGACTTTACCGAAAGAACCAAAGAGTATATATAGAGGATCACAGAGCTTGGGAAATTGTTGGCATCACGTGGCTGCTGCCTCTTCCTGCTTGTCTGTGGTTCCGAGCGAATAATTGGCGAAACGTTATGAGTTTGAATTCTTATTATCATGCGTTGAAATGTTTTATGTATGTATGTTGAACTTTTTTCGCACCGTACATAGCCAACCGTGCATGGAAAGGACAATAAACTAAACACAAAAAGCAGTTGTAAAGAAATTTGTAAAGTATTCCATCGGTTATCTCCAGAAAGTGGTGAGGGTGATAAACACAGCGGTGCATCGCAAACAGCAGTCCGGATGATCTGACATTGTAAGTTTTGAAATTCTTCAGCACCTTACAGTTTCCTGTTACGTCAAAAAATGTGACACAAACGCAGAAAGTATTTGCAAGCCAATCTCCGGAAAGTGACGAGAGGGTGCTGAACATCGTGGCACAGGTTAATCACAAGTGGCGAATGAACAACTCAGCTCTTGTATATCATCACGCTGGCGTGCAAGCGCTTGCATTTATACGCGAGTGTCAGTTTATTTGCCTTTTGTTTGTTTTGTGTGGAAACGTACGGAAGCTGAAGCTTTGAAAGCACGCAAAGAGTTACGGAGAGGTGCATGCAGGGAATTAACAGCGCGAGACTTGAAAGAGAAACCCGTAGATTGGTGAAGAAACGCAAAGTTATCGGGGCATAATCTTGACTGTTCGTCAAAGTGTAAGTGGGCTTTGGGCGGGAGACATCGCTACGAAAGGAACGTGGCAGGCAGTTGAGACTATCGACGGAACGGCAACAAGAAGGGGTTCCTCCTGGTCCCTGATTTTTGCCAGGATCGTCCTCTTGTTGAGGTAGCTGTGCTTGCACGGTTGGCTACGTACGGTGCGAAAGACGTTCAAGGTACATACGTACGTCCGCGAAGGGAGGTACGTGTCCCCAAATCATTCCTTACACCAGGCCCCATTCCAACCACGCTATGCCACTGATTTTATGTGCAGTGTGTGTACTATATGGTGTACGCATATCCTGCGTGTCTATATGGCATGTATGCATGCTGAACTTCTTTCGTACCATACATAGCCAACAGTGCTAGTCAGAGGTGCGAGGAAAGAACAACAAACTAAAAACAAAAAACAGTGGGTGCATATATATATACTGTAATGTGTATACATGTGGTGTGTGTGTTTATGTAGCGTGTGTAGTGCGGCGGCATAGCTGTATGGGTGTATGTTCAAACTTCTTTCACACCGTACGTAGCCAACCGTCCTAACCGCAGGTGCAATTGGGACTCGTGAGCTTGGCTCCAAGATGTCCAGCCACCGGACGATAGAGATATGGGGCAAGTTGGAATGGTGGGGGAGGGCCAAGTGTAATCCCGTGCGCCTGGGCCCTTGGCACCCACGCTAGGCCACTTCCCAAGGGGTGGGGGTGGGGGGGGAAGAGAGAGATCGTCGGCGTTGCGTGTGTCTCTCGCCGGATGCCCGCTGCAGGAACGCCGCTGGGCTGCGCGGAGCGCGTGACAGCCGGCGTGGTTCCCAACGAGCACGGCACCTGGCTGTACGGAAGGAACGGTTGGTGCGACGGGCAGGAGGTCGAGCCCTGGAGGGTGGACATCACCTCGCAGGTTTGCTCGGTCACACGAGCGTCGCCCTCACGCCGGTGTTTTCTCGATCCGGCGCTCGCACGCTATGTACCGGCGTAGCTCTCGCCCCGACTGTGGCTACTACGAGGCGCGTGCCGACTTACCAACGAAGAGTGTAGGCCGTCACGCGTCAAGGGGCATAGACCGTCATCGCATGAAGTCTGGTCATCCTCACAGCGGCTTTTGGCTCGCCGTCGAACCAAAGATGGCCACCGCATCACACGCTTTCAGATGCGGTTCCTGTGGCCATCTGGAGTGCCCTTCCTTCTAATATTCGAAATCCACTGGAGCTATGCGCTTTTAAATCTGGATTGAAAACTCATTTCTTTAGAACGGCTTTTTTTATGTTTAGTTTGTCGTCCTTCGCCCGCACTGTCCATTAGTGCGGCGGTTGACTACGTATGGTGCAAAATAAGTTAATCCTCCTTACAATACATACCTACACACCCGGGATATATTCGGCGAGAAATATAGCCCCACTTGCGATCCCCCCCTTCAAAACTTGGCCTTTGCGTGATTTACCAATCTTTTCTATTTGTATGCAAATTAAGCCGCTGTGCTCTGAGTTTCCCACGATGGTTGGTAATCATAGCAGGCTGAAATACGAGGCCTACTTCCTTCTTTATGACCGCGAGCGCGCCGGACTTCCAAGTGGCGGAGCTGTCGGTCGGCCGCAGTGTTTCCATTGGGAGGATCCCTCGGCCCCGATTGCCGCTGGGTATGATTTGCTGTTGCAAAATCATCCACAACACGATCGATTTCCCTCGGGATGTAATTGCGTTAAAATAAAAACAATCGCTGGAAGTTAGATGAAAAATTGGAGCTTCCTTTATTAAGCTTGGTATTTTTTACAACCATTATTTCACCCGGTATTTGCATGAATGAATTCATTAAACGGACACGCTCGTTGTAGGTTTTAGCTAACGTTAATGGCATTTATTTTATTTTCAGATGACACAAACTGTTCATTGAATAATCATTAAAATGGCTGCTTCCAGCCAATGTCTGTTCCATTGAGGAGGTTAATCCAGTTCACATTTTACGCTGTGCTTGGGCTTGCTAATGCAATTATCTTTATATCTGGTGTTAACAAAATACAAATGGACTTGGTTTGACGCCTGTTATACAAATTCACGCCATTAACATAAATAGTTTCTACCCGAATTGAACAAATCTCATCATTAAATGATAAAATTGGTTGTTAGTGAATATCTGTGCAATGTAATACAACCGATCCATCTCCCTGCTTCTTAGCATCATTTCCATTTGAATGTGTTTGTTCATTTCCAATTCGTCTCAATCATCAGCCATGATCAATCGACTGCTGTTGCATGAAGGCCTTCCCAAGATGTCCTCTTCATCTCCTGATTCCGACAATGCAACAATCCATCCATCGTCCGCACACGAACCCACTTCCCTTCATACCCTCCGAATTCACCAACCCGCACTGACCAGCGTGGTAAAGTATGGCTAAATAACCCTCAAAACTCACGAAGCATGGGGAAGCATTCAGGTGGTCTGGCTTGACCACCTGAATGTGAAACTGTAGTTTTTGCTCTGCATCTACATCAGCCGTACGTTAAGAAGGAAGCATAGAATTTGACAAAGGGCTGTACATGCCCAACATCGCTTGCCCCCCCCGGCGGTCTGCGCTGCTACACGGGGGACCTTTGTCTTTGTGTCTGCGTCATTGTTCGCACGCACGCAGGTGGAACGCGCGGCGAGCAACACCGTCACTTACTACGGCTGGTTCAACGGTAGCGACCCCAACCCGAAGCAAAATCCCGGCGAAATCACCATGTCCTCGTTCCTGGTGTTCTACAGCGAGCGGCAGCGGTGAGCTCCGGCAACGTTCACGGCACCGACGCCGCCGCTGCCGCCGCTGCCGCCGCCGCCGCCGGCCGCGAACTCTCAACGCGGAGCGACTGCGGCCGCGAAGGCGTGTGAGCTGCATCTGTCGGGAGCGGCTGTGCCACACACACGTGCACTCGCTCGCGCCTCCAGTGTCATCGAGCGTCTCTTACTTGCGTTTTTTTCATGAACGCGTTGAGAGCGTTTGTTCGAACGTTAGTTCTGTCCCCTCTGGCTCTCCGTGATAAAGGGGGGCCGTGATATCGCTCGTAGAGACGATCCGAGATGGATGAAACTGTGGTGTAAAGATGTGTTGCTGTGAGGGATTCGCCCCGTTGATAACCGCACCGAATTGATCAAAGCATTGCCCAAAACTTGCAGACACGAATGAGAGTACAAAGCACTGTTGGTAAATCTGCAAACCTCTTTTGAGCCCCGACAGCCGTCTCGACAGCGCCCAATGCTGCCGAGTGAAATACCCTCGAATTCAAGCGCACGCTGGAAAGTAGTGTTACTTAAACCACGCTTTGTACGTGATTTGACCCTCAAGTGTTCCGGATATGTTTGGTATTCAGTGCCGACCGGCACTGCTCGTGCCTGCGGTGAGGTGCGGCAGTTGGTTTGAATATCTAACCGTTGTGAAATGTTGGGGTTTTATTTTGAAGATGATCATCGTCTTTACCTGCGGTATCATCGCCGCAAGTGAATCAAAGGGAATCTTTCTCCTCAACAGGTTCGTTATTACTTCAAAGTTTATTGACTAATCCCGCGCGTGATACATTTTCCGATCGCTCTTTCTGTCGTACGTATGAACACTTTTCATCACTTGATATTGGTGCAGAGTAATAAAATGAAGTCGTTAAGTTGCTGCACTCTCTTGCATTAGTTCGCAACACTTTGTGCTTAAAAGAGGAGCAGGGGTGAAACTGAACGGTAGATCGCATCTCTCCTCAAGTCTCCAAAACATTGGCTGTTTTATACTCTTTGGTTTTTTCGGTAAAGTCACTTAGGTGAAAACAAAATAAAATAAAAATAAAACAACTACATTTTTTATTTAATTTTTTTCTTTCTTTTTTTTCACCCACGTGACTTTACCGAAAAAACCAAAGAGTATGGATCCTTGCAGTCACGAAAACTTCTAACCTAGAATCGGCTGTTTTGTTTGTAATGAAACGTATGCTGTGGACACCGCGATGTTACCTGAGTGCGTGTGTGTGATCAATGGTGAGTGCCTCTTAGCGATGATATTGATTGCAATATTTGTGATGCGGTAACAATGAAATCTGTCGACTGTTTATTTTTTTAAGTTCAAAAAAACTGCACTCGCATCGCGATGAAATTGCCCGAAAATATCGACTTTCCTCTTTGCGCAATTGCCGTTAATGAAGACATCGGGGGGGTGTTGTGTGTTGTGAAAAATATTGACCCAAGTTGCAGAATTTTCTTCCAACACGTGAAACCGAGGCCAGTTTTATTAAAATTTTCGTCTCACAACAACAATATCTGTGTATGTATTCGATGTAAGTTTTGGATTAAACCGAAAGAAATTGCAAACTAAAAAAAAAAACTTTTGACATGGCTTCTCTTTGCGGTCTTCAAATGAAATGCTAAAACTCGTATCGTTTACGAATTTAAGAGCGCGCGATGACAAATAATGACGGCGATAATGAAGGGGGCTAGTCAAGCGACGCGGCTGCTGTTGGGTCAACGCTGACAACGTCTGCAGGAGAGCTGATGGCTCATTCACACACGCGGCGTCGATTCCCTACTCGTCGGCTTCATTAAATGCATCCAGCCCTCGAGTATCACACGGCCTTTTTAAATGTTTTAGTGCTTTCCAATAAGCGGGACAATTGTTTTGGCAGCGTTTTGATTAAATGCAATCTATTACCTCCGCTGTGCAATTGGAAATGCGCGACGCAATTGACATTTCCGAGGACAAAGGAACCTTTGCTAAATAATGGGGATGCAATTACTTTTTTTTATATATATCCCGTACGGTCATGGGACAGGTCTGAAAAGTGCTTCTAATTTCTGTGGAAGCAATACAGCGGTAGACTAAACGGACGGAGTAAAATAAATCTGGAAGTAAAATTAAACGAATCGTACAATGATACGTGTAACGTTGGCCTTAATTTACTAGCATCTCTCTGCAGTGGTATGATCGTGTTAGCAGGCTGTACGTGCAGCAAGCCAATAAATACAATCATGAAATGCCTGCACAGGTTTAATTGAACACAAAAAAGGCAGCTGGGCTATTGGTCCAATTTGTACAACTGCACGGACGTGCTGCATTATTTAAACACGTTATATTCCGGTACGAATATATATTTCATCCTCTCAAATGTTTGACATCTTTGTGAAAGATTTTGTTTTGGGGCGGGGAGACGTGTGTCAACCCATTACTCATAATGCATGGGGGTGGGGGGGGGGAGAAACATCTGTCAAGTGCCGTGGAAAATTAATTTGACTCCCAGGCTCTATCAAAAAAGCCAAGCTCTGTAATTGACGGCACAAATTTGCGCACGATTTTATGGCAGGGCGTCCGCAGATCGAAACAGCTGGGCGCGGAGGTGCGAGGCGCGCGCGGATCGCGACTTTTAACTGGAAGCACCCGCTGGGCCAATCCCCGCATTGCCGGCTGGATATTGAAGATCCGGTGAGAGAATTGTCGCGCTCGGATCTACGGGCCGGAGTCGGTGCCTGGAATTTTCAACGCACGCAAAGGGAGAGGTGTCACGGGCAATCTGCGCATCCCCCCACCGCCCCCCCACGCGCGCCCAGGGAGGCCAACGGAATGCTGCCGATTCGTCGTGGGGGCTGTAATGTTCTCCACCCTTAAGCGACGCAATTGAACCGTCGCCACTTAACAAGTGCAAATCAATATACTGCCACTTAAGTGTGGGCAACTTGTAATCGGAAATATCGGCGATAAAAAAATGAGCGTTTGTACCGGAAGATGTGCGGACATGAATTAGAGTCGCGCACAATTCGGATCTTACCCAGCGTCTGAATTGCGACTGAATTCTAGGACGCTGTGCAGAAACAGTGGGAGAACGAAAAGGGTGGTCTTGCGCCTTGACTTGAACAGGGGCAGGGAGTTGACAGCACGGACGGCTGGGGGGTCATGTCGTTCTAGACTATGATGGCAGGAGGGGAGAATGAGCGATCCCCCCCCCCCCACCGAGTGGAGGCTGAGAGGGGAATTCATTAGAGAGCCTCAGTGGGTGGAGTGGAGAGTGCGTGGAGGGGGTGCAGATGGAGTTGAGAGTGGAACGTCAGGAGAGTGCATCGTGGGGAGCAGAGCGAGATGAGAGGTGTGAGGGTGGGAGAGTGCGTAGGGGGGAGTAGAGTGAGATGAGGGGTGAGATAGAAGAGTACGAATGGAGAGTAGCGTGAGATGAGAGGGATGAAATGGGAGAGTGCGTAGGGGGGAGGAGAATGGGATGAGAGTGGAGAGGTAGGCAGCGGTGATTATGTGGAAAAACTCTAAAATAATAAACTTCGCGAGCAACAGCTTCGCGATCATTGTATTCACTCGGTAGGACTGCACTGAGCAGATGGCTGATTCAAGCAACAGCTCCATTGATATGGTGACACGTCCGTCAAACAAACCCACACCACAGTGCTGTGATTATCCAAATGCATGTATTAAACTAACTGTGATAATATATATTTTAATGATCGCTCATGTCTCAGTGGGGAGACTGCCTCGAAAAATAAAATAAAATAAGTCCGTGAGTTAATCACTCCAGCAAACGTTGGGTTCTGTTGCATGAGAGAACTCGTTGCCCGTGGCTTTTGTTTTGCTCAACTTTTGCGACCACCTTCATGAAGTTTTTCAATAATTGCCTGCGTGTCATTGTTTTATAAACGACCGTGTCATCAGCAAGTCTGAGATGGTCATTATAATGTCTCCATGTTTACATGTTATGGCTTTATTATTCCAATCCAACATTTGGAAGGAAATAAACTCCTTAAAACATTTTTTTTAAACAACGGTTTTATTCACGGTCGAGAAGTCCGTCAATGATGCGGCACCTGCTCCCACATCAACGCTTACTTGAATTCATTGATTCCGTAACTCGTTGACACGTGTGGCACCTGAGACACGTGGCGCCGGCTTCTTAGGCAAGGCGATTCGAGAGTTTATGGACCGCGACCTTTTTTGACCTACACAAATATAAAATAAATAATAAGGCGTCCATTCAAAATGTAAATTACTTTAAAGTAGCGAATTAATTGATTAATTGATTCCGATATTGATGCAGGCATGCATTGTCACCGGATCTGGGTACGTGTGCAAAGTTTTGAATTGATTGGGCAACAGGAAGTAGACTAACTTTTGATAACAAGACTTGACCACGACAAACACAGGAGTCAAGTTAAGTAAAGTCGTTGACAAAAAACCCATCTGATCATTCTAAAATCACAGCCCGAATTTTGACAATTCATCTAATAGCTGGGGGCTGTGACTCATTACATAAGTCGAGTCAGAGTGATGTTCTGCTCAAATGAGCAAGGAAGCGATACTCCTGTTTACAGTCCTGAGCTTGGGGTGGAAATTCCACATTCCTATGATGGGGGCGAGTCTATCCACAAGACAGCTGAATTCTCCATCAAGTGGTCGAAATTTTATCGACCCCAGTGGGATAATGGGCTGAGTCGATCCTGAATGCAAGCCGCTCACATCTGCCGCTGAGCCACCTGACCGGTTGAAGTATGATTTAGTTCCTGCTTTCCCTATTAGTCTCGCCTGTTGGGTTCCAGCCAGTGTCTCCGATTGGCAACCTGGCACGCCGGCGAGATAGACTTTGATGCTGTCGCCTCTGAGCTAAGAATTAGCGTCGCCACATTTCCCCATGCGACTTGTCTCCCGATGAACTGTTGACCTTGTTTCCATCCGGCATGAGCACAGCGTACACACGGAAAGGAATATGCATGTTGAACTTATTTCGCACCGTACGTAGCCAACTGTGCTAATCGCATTTGTCACTTCGAACTCGCTGAGTAATTTAACCATCCGCTGCTGACACTGTGAGTGAATTGTATTTCCAGGGTGTAAAAGCTTATCATCGCCTTCAAGTCGCGAGTAATTTTGATACCGTATATTTTTTATGCCAACCTGCGGGGCGAATCTAGATTACTGGAGCGTTTCAATTTAAATGCAATGCTACTTTGTACTACTGCACAACAGCCTTGTCTTAAAATTACTAAAAAAAGAAGACAACAGCTATATAGATGACCTAAAAAGGTTTGCAAATTAGAATGTTTAACAAATGTTTAATTTTATAAAAGCTACAAAGTGTAGTTTAGCAGGTACCCATTACCCCTAGTGGGTCCCACACGTCACGTGACCCGCTCATTTCGTTTCTACCCGCCGTGCAAACTCAAGCCGCGGGTCAACATTTGTTCTTGCTGCGTATTTACGCATTCAATTTGCGCCACGCGTAATCCATTTTCCTTATTCTTTTAATTCCTGGAAAAATAACCAAATTGTTGCGGCCGCCTTCTCTGTTGGAGCGCGTCGTCGCCACGGACGGCACCGCCTTGGATGAACGTCGCGCGCGTCCTCGCCCACTTATCGCGTTTCCCAGAAAATGAGGGCCCTGACAAAACGCAATTAATTTCGCCGCTAATGCGAGCGCGCGCGTAACACGAAGAGAGAGCCACTCCAGCTCGCGCCAGGACACCTGCTGTACCTCGGACAAATTGCTTTTTTTTGTTAATCAATCCCCGCCACCCCACTCCCTCCCCCCCGTTACCCCCCCCCTTCCGCTCCAGTGAAGAAGTCTGATGGACAAATGGCCCATACGGCCAGAGAACACAATCGCCACTTGAAATTCTGAAAGCGCGTCGCTCGCACACCTGTGCTAACAATTAAACATTGGTTTAAAGGGTTTTGTAACCTCTGGCCTCCACTGTGTAAATCATGCGGCGAGTAAAGAAAAAAAAAGATATGAAATATTCGCGCCGTCGCAAGGACGTAGCGAAAGTCTGTGGACGGCTCGTGGCTTGAATCGCTCCCGTGGTGAATGTCATTCAAGAAGGCCAAGGATTCGTGCCAAACAATGTCTAAACTTCTAAACTTCTCGCTGACCGCATTACCATATCGAACATTAAACAACCATCTACAGTGAGGGAAAAAAGTATTTGATCCCCTGCTGATTTTGTACGTTTGCCCACTGACAAAGAAATGATTAGTCTATAATTTTAATGGTAGGTTTATTTGAACAGTGAGAGACAGAATAACAACAAAATCCATAAAAACGCATGTCAAAAATGTTATAATTTTTTTTGCATTTTAATGAGGGAAATAAGTATTTGACCCCCTCTCAATCAGAAAGATTTCCAACTACGAGAAACGTCTGACCTCTGTGATTGCCAACAAGGGTTTTGCCACCAAGTACTAAGTCATGTTTTGCAGAGGGGTCAAATACTTATTTTCCTCATTAAAATGCAAATCAATTTATAACATTTTTGACATGCGTTTTTCTGGATTTTGTTGTTGTTATTTTGTCTCTCACTGTTCAAATAAACCTACCATTAAAATTATAGACTGATCATTTCTTTGTCAGTGGGCAAACGTACAAAATCAGCAGGGGATCAAATACTTTTTTCCCTCACTGTAAATACATAAAGTGCATATCATCGCCAACATTTAATAATAATGATAATGCTCGTATCTCATTTGTTCTGCGTCTTTATTTTATTTTTGAACAACACAGGCATCACCGTTCAACCGCATTCATTGATATCGTGAATTCTATAAATAGCAATAACAATCCTCTTTCCTGACCTGATCATTAAAACTAAGCCTCACTCTCGCTGACCTCTCAGCAGTTGCCTCCGTGTTCGTAAACAACCTACAGTTGGCGGAAACCACAATTTCTGAGAAATACACTTACATAACAACATCGTGTGTGAACGCGAGAAGCCGTTCTCTGAATGCCTCACTCGATGAAATATTGAGGAGGAAGGACAATCAATAGCTCTCTCTCTCTCCGTGGCCGTATTCCACCAGTGTGCTACGACTGGCAGCTATCACCGCGAGCAG